ATTGCTATATGTTAAAGAGAAATAATTACAAATTTTATAGCTACTATCCAGGTTAATTTCTGTAAGTTTTGTGATTTTTGCTATCATTGTGTTTAATTTATTCACACCTATTCAGGTTTTTTTAAACCAAATTCCTTTATTTTAATCTAGCAAAAAAAAAATATGTCAGTAATAAATACTATAAAAAAAAAAAATTCAAAACTATAAATGCTTTAAACCTTTTGTTGATCATGCAGTCTCTAAAAAGAGTAATATACAAACATCTATAGATCATAATAACATCATATACAATATATCTTGTATAGGTTTAAAATAATTATTAGCATTATTAGAAGGAATGAGAATCTTTCATACAGAACTTTTTCTATATTTATTGCATTTTAATGCCCCACATTAATTATTCTTCTCATAATTAAATATTAAAAAAAATCCACTATCATTACAACATGATATGTCTTTAAAGTTAATTCTTTTAGCATTGCTACCATGCAAACTATATAAAAGTAATAGCCAAAAGAATACCCATTTTACTAAACCTTCATTTGTATCAACTTGCATTGTTTTGTAATCAAGAATTTGTACAATTTTCTCAGCACTTAATGCAGATGCTTGCTCTGTTTCATCCAAACCCACATTTTGAAGTTTTTTTATCTTGCTATCAAGCATTCTTAAAGCTTTTTCAAAATAGTAAGAATCCTACAATTTACATAGCCTAATTTTGTTATTTTCTTTTAGATAACATGCTATAAACATATAGCAGTTGTAAATACTCTCTGCCTTGTAATTTTGTTATCCAAATGTTTTAACCAGGTAAGAAACTTACAAAAAAAGTCTTCTAATTCCATAGCTATATCAATTTTTTTAATATCTTTATTATACCTAATAATTTTATAAAATCTACTAATTAAATACAACTACTTTAAAGTGCATTTATTAGTATTTTCTACATGTGAAATTCGTTGCAATTCAAGCACATCTTTCTTAATAAAAACAGTAGTACAATTTCTTTTACCTATTATTCTATATTACAAAAAAAAGATTGATAATTGGTCAATCTAAAATTGATTACTAAAATAAGATAGTTTAATTTTTTAAAAAAGTAATTTAATAGATGACATGTTGTTATATCATACCTATAAAATAATCTTATTATTTAATAGATATCGATAAATATGAGGTATTTTATAGATTAATAGTAAACCATGTGGCCGAAGGCTATATGATTTTACTATTAATCTATGAAATATCCTGTATTCACCGATACCCATTAAATAACAAGAATTTATCTTATCGTGTTTATTGTTATAGTATTTATTTACACTATTATATATTATATATTGATAAAACATGTTTACTTAAAACATTAAGGTATGTTTAATTAGTACAATTTTGTGAATTTAATATTTTTTATAATTTTATTAATAAAATTATAAAAAATATTGTGTTTTTTAAATATTTGCTTAATAAATCTCTTTTTAATTTCTAAATAAAGTTTTAGAGACATGTTATATAATCAAAATAGTAATTAAAATACTAAAAGCAGCTTAGTAGATTGCAAGATAAAAGTATTTTAGTTTTCATAACTATATGTTTTCTTCTTTATTTATATAAAGAAGAAAATATATAATTATGAAAACAAAAATACTTATATAGTATTTTGCAATTTATTGGACTAATTTTAATATTTTAATTGCTATTTTGATTGTAAGATACTTTCTTACAACTTTTATTAGAAGTTGAAAAAAGATTTACTTAGTAAAGAAAAAAGGTTTGGTTAAAAATCTTCAAATTTAAAATTTTTTTTTTTTAAATTCAGCAGTTTTGCCAATACTGTTTATTAAATTAACACTAAGGTGTTTTGGTTACAAATATCACATGTACAATTACAACTCTCTAATGTATATTACAAGTATTAGCTCACCTAGTTACTAAATTAGTATCTATATATGACCTGCTATATAAGATTTTACTTTCTTAATAACTATCCTGCAACCAGACCAATTATTAAATTACTGGACAGTTCTCAAATCTATATTATTATATATATTCTACTTATATACTCCTTATCACTTATTATATTACTCCTAATTCGGTTCTTGTATTACTTTTAAATTGATATCTTTCGAGTAAACACTTTTTATGCTTCTAGTTTGGTGTTCCTAGAGGAGTTACTTTAAAAGCCTAACCATATCTCAACAGTTATCTGTTGCCAAACTAGAATGTTATTTCATATTAATTCAGGTATTTGCATCATATACTACCAAATTAGGCTATTGCTCTTTTTATAGTACTCTCTATTAGTATAGTATTACAGAAGTTTAGATTCTTAGAATGGAGTTATATACTTTATTTAATTACTGTTACAAGCCAGTAACCTGGAACCCGCTCTTCTGCCATGTTTCGTCATTAACTTCTATATAGGTTGTGCAACACATTATTTACTAGCTGTCTTAATTTTTATACTATCAGATCACTTGCTTTTATACTTTTTGGGTTTCTTTTAGCCAGTTTTCTTTGTTTTTTTGCACCAGAGATGTTCTATATTTGGTAATATCATCCTTTTACCACAGCTTCTTACTATGTTTATCACTTCTTTTACCACTTTTGAATATACCACATATAGCTGTTCTCCCAATCAAGATCCCAATGCCATCTTAGGGTTGTTGGTGCTACCTTGCTAATTACAAATTCGCATACATAGCCTTCTGCAGTAAACCTTCTATGACTCATATTACACACAGTGCCCAGTCTTTCTCCATAGCTTGGAGCTCCTTCCAAAAATTCTTTATAGACCAAATATATATATCATATAGTCTTACTGCTACAGGGTTTCACATTTGAAAGTTCTTGAAGGTTATAGAAATAATTAATTAAATTAATTACCATCAGCTATGATTAAACTATTGACCTTGTTTATAAAGAGTTAGGCACCTAAACCACTAGGCTATAAAACCCTAACCCAATTCAAAAATTCTAAAGATAAAAAAAATTTTAATAAACATATTTTTACTATTTACTATATACTATATTTTGTTACTAAATCTAAACATGTTTATAAATCTTGAACTAAATCTGAACTAAATTAAAACTTTAAGTTTAGGTTCAGTTCAGGTTCAAAGATTTGTAAAATTTGTAGATTAGGTTCAGGTTTAGTTCAGGTTCATTAAATCTAAACCTAAACCTAAACTGAACTAAATCTGAAAACCCTAATGCCAACTCCAAAACAAAAAACCAATTAAATACTAGAAGAAAAAAGAAGTATGTAAATACAAACCAAAAAAACAAAAGTATAAATTTCAATATACTATATATCTAGTAGCAATTGCAACTCAAATAAAGCCAAAGAGGTAAAAGCTACAATTCAATACTGAATTTTACACTAACACCAATGATAAGAACTCAATTACATACTAGAAAAAAAAAAAGATAGTTAAGTGAAACTAAAAAAGATTAAAAAATAAAACTACAAATTTTAGCAATGAAATTTATACTGATTCTAGAGCAAAAACTTAATTATATACCTGAAAAAAAAAAGCATTAGTTAAGTGAAACTAACTAAAATTAAAAAAACAAAAGCAAAGTGCAAATCAAAAAAAACCAAAAAAACAAAAGCACAAACTCTAATAAAGAGAAAACTCCACTATATATCCAAAAGGAAAAAAAGCATTATCAAGTGCAAACAGAAAATTGAAAAAACAAAAGCTACAAAATTTGTATTAATACTAGCAATAAAAGATTTAACTATATATCTGAAGAAAAAGAACCAAAAGACAAAAACCAGAAATAAAAAAAAACCAAAATCATATAATACATACAGTAGGTGGTATCTATAATTTATATTAAACCAGTACTGTATTGTAGAACCTTGATGATAATACTATATAGTATTATTCTTAAGATTTTTATAACAATACTGGTTTAATGTAAATTATAGATGTCACTATATATACGTATATTAGATAATTTGATTGGAGTTAATTAAAAATATTCTGAGCATGCTATACATGTTCAGGCCAGTTGGATTAGTACATAAATGTAATTACTTGGCTTTTTTAAGTTTTGATTGGCTGAGTAGACCAGAAATATATAAATTATATATCTCTAATCAGAAATGTCTAAAAATTCCCTTTTTACTATTATATTATAGTTTTGCTTATACTGTAATATTACAATATAAAAAACTCTAACTTTAATCTACTATAACTCTAATTTAAACTATACAGTAAATTTTTATTCTAACTCTAACTATTTATAAATTTGTTTAAATTTGTTTAAATATTTATTTTTATATATTATAATTCTACAATAAATTTATATTGCCTAGATATATTAAAGATCAACTAGTTTTTTAGCTAAATAATTTTAAATAAAATTGGAATACAGTATTAAAAAAATTAAAAACTATATACAGTATAATATAAAATTATATATATATACTATATATATATATTATAATTTTTATTTAAAAATACTGTATATTTTATACATCTAAGCTACAGTATATTTAAACTATATAGTATTATATAATTATAAATCAATTTGTAAAAAAATAACATAAATTATATGCTAGAATTTATATACAATATATATATACATATATATATATATATATATAATATATATATTTAAAAAAATAATTTAAATTAAGCATAGCCAATAAAAATTTATAATTTGCGCATGTACGTACGTACATACAGACATTAGAACAATTATTTTACCATCCTTTAAACATCTAAAACTTTCAGAACTTAGAAACAAGAATCGATACAAGATTTTATTTAAAATCGAAGAAATAATAAACAAAGTTTGAAAATTGAAACTTTTTTTTTAAAAAAGCGAAATCCTTGATTCATAGATATAACGAATTATGAATAAAGATTTTAAAACCCGTTATAAGATGATCTATTATATGTTATATACTAGTTAAAATTGTTTAGTATATATGCAGTATTTTATCATACGAATATCCATTCAATAATATATATGTATTAGTGTAAATTATGAATGCGGACTTTCCGTCACATAAAAATAAAGAAAAAAGAAAAAGAAATGATTTAACTCCTAACGAATCCTACACGTACACGTACAGTACGTACGGCATATACCAGTGATAATAATTGACAGCGATTTGTTGGCCACGAATAGCAAGAAACTGTAATCGGTATAAAAGGATAAAAAGATCCGAAAAATAGAAACGTCATCGTAAAAATGACTAAATCTTTGTTATACAACAATTAATAGTGTACTTATCTGTATAGATTGCATAACTCTTATTATACGGATAAGTTTAATTCCCCAATCCATTTGTTTCATATACAAAAGAAAATTTATAAGATTAATAATTGAAAGATGAATAATACAAGTGTATATTTTAAGAAAAGTACAGTAAATTGAGAAATGTAAGCACATCATATGAAGAATCAAAAATAAATTTAATTTAGGATTTACATAATTGTAAAAGGTGAAGAGAAAGAACGAACCGGTTAATTTAGATCCAGAAAATCGCACCCATACATTCTACAATATATATATATATAATCTATATATTTATAGAACAAAAATTAACTAGTCTCGAAAGTTAACCATAAGCAATTGCATGAACGATTACCAACCCTAACTCCCTAAATTAAGTTTGAACAAAGAAACAACGGTGATATGTAGTCACATACCCTTCGTACAACTTTAGATCATCGAGAGAAGCATTACGTCATCATATGTACATAAAAAAGCATTTCTAAAAAGAATTTGTAGATATCTGATACGTATACAATAGTGAGTAGCTTGATAAATTCAATCGGAAGGTAAAAAGATTATGGAGTCTAAGCACTTTTATTATAAATATTGTTAATCTATTCAGGAAACATTTAAGAATTATAAGGAACAATTATTAGGAAGGTTTAAATCGTATTGTGTTTAATGTAACAATGACGACAAGATTTTGTAGCGCAGTAGAATCAATAATAATATATATAGATAATAATATAGATAGTATATAACAATGATACGTATAGTATAATACAGTAGCAGGTAGTAATAATAGTAAATACCGTACGTAGGAGAATCACGATGTGCATGAGAAAAACAAAACCAAAAAACTAAATATATTTTGGACGGCTGTACTGTAACAAAAGATAATGATAATGATTGGATAAACCTTCGATCGTTTGTAGCACGATAAATTTTTTGTTACAATTCACAGCAGTAACAGTAACAATTACAGAATTATAAAATTATAAGAACATATTTTATGTTTGCGCGTTGTAATCTTATCAATGCACAGGAATCAAGAAAAATAGTGTCACGGGATTAACAAAAATTTTAAAGATCACATAGATTCTTCACTTTATTCGACTTATTAGTATATACAAAGGCCAAATAATTTTCATTTTATTGTTGCGAAAATAATTTAACAAACCTTTTTACGTATTTGATTGGTTTTTTAAAAATATACAAATTGGAACAATACTCATAAAACTTACTAAAATTGGATAAAAATTTACTAATACGTATGTATATACATAATTTATATACATATATATATATATAATATATATATATGGTATATATATACTATATATTAACTATATATGTAATTATATAATCTATACGTATACGTATATATAACTATAAACTTCATATCTTCATATATAATATATATAATAAATATATAAATATATATGTAATCTATGTAACAATGTAATATGTATATAGTCATAATCTCGTGTAATCGCAGACCATAAAATCGAATTGATATTACGCAGTGTATTAGTGTTATTAATAATAGACAAATGTTATTATTAAATATAAATTGGAATGACGATAATGGCGTGCATTATTATACAAAAGTGGTTAGATTCATCCAAATTGATTTTAATAAAGATATACACGCACTGGCTTAGTTTTTTTTTATAAAGTATAAAAAAATATTCATAATGATACGATATCAAGGAATGATTGGAAAAATCAGACCGATTCAAATATCGCTATTCACCGTTTACACCGTTTAGAGTTTAAAAAAACACGTGAGACGGGATTCCGGGAATCAATGAATAAATTTGGATTCATACATAAATTGATAGACCGAATTAGAAGCTTACACGACAGAGATATCAAATGTCTTATGCATAATAATGTAGTGATTCAGTTAAGGTAGTACCATTTGTATCATTTACCGCGTTTCTAATATATTTGGTTTTGGAGATAAGCCATAGCGATAAAGTAAGAATATTTTTATATTAAGAGGAAAAATGATTACACCGCATTTTTTAACGGCAAATATCCCCAGTAAGAAAGAAAATCTTACAAATAAATTTGTAAATTTCTCAAAGGGTTTCACCACAACTCACAAGATCTGCTTATTCATGCATGTATCATCATTGGTATAAATAAAGATAAATTGATAGAGAAAACCCTTGAGGAGGCTGAATGCAGAGTTTTAAACCTGCGAGATTTCCCAAAATAGGTGATTATTGATCGAATTTTTTTCCCAAGAACTTTTTCTTAACGTTGCAAAAAATATTCTGCAATCAGCCACTCAATACTAAATTTGCGCTTGCTCCATTTTCTCATAAATAGGACTAATTTCCCTCTTACAGTCTCAAAACCGAAAATTTATAAAAACGATTTTTTTTATCAAAAAAAAAAAATTACATACGTATATACGTATATCAATAATATCAATAATAATCGGTAACCGCCACTTAATACCAAGTCTGCGCCTACCTACCAATTTTTTCATAAATAGGGCCAATTTCCCTCTTTTTAACCATAATTTATAAAAAACGTTTTTTTTTCTAAAAAAAATTCAGGGCATATAAAAATTAATAATAATAATAATGTCTACTATGGAACTAAAACACGGAAAAGAAAGTATACGGGCACTTTTATACTTTGCAGTAATGACGGTATTCGTTAGAGCTTCTTTGGCTGGTCCATCCTTAAACATACCATCATATGAAACTTTAGTAGAACCTTCAGAAATACTTTCAGCCCTGGATTTATCAACTAGCGATGAGTCAATGAGCTCGACAACGTCTGACAAACTAGACTTAATTCCACATTCAAATAACTTAGGAATATTCGGAACTGTTCTGGCCAGTACTGCCGCTTTACTTAAAGGTCAATCCACGTAACTGAGAAAAAAATTCATAACCTACATTTTTACGATTGGACGTAAGAGAGCCGTTGGTGAACGGAGTGGTCTCTTTACAAGATTACTTGTAAAGAGTAAGTTTCTAAATTAAAAATTATTACACTATCAATCATTTTTAATTTGTTTATTAAGCAGTAACATTACGTAGTAATGAATAACGGTGGTAATGTTTAAGCAAAAGCTACCCTTTTTCCTTTACAGGAAAAGAATTATATACATTTCTAACCCAATTTTATTGCACGAATTTATAGATAGTAAAATAGAACACGTATAACATTTTAACCATTTTATATTCGAATTTATATATATATATATATATATTATGTTTAGTATTAATCTTTTCGAATATTTGTACAAATTATTAAAAAAAAAAAAAAGAAATATTGTATTGGTATAATTACTCTTAAGAATCGTAAATAAAAGTTTTGTGAGAAACTTTAAAACATGATATACGAGTGTATCTACTGCGTAAATTTAACTATTAATTACGTATATACAGTATATATCAGGTATGTAAAGTACTGTACCTATGTGTATATCAGTATATATATTACATATATATCAGATATTACAGGAACAGGTATAAATGAATACCATTACGTACGTACTATCGTTATTACCGTTACTGTATTCGAGAGCTAATCGTAATTCAGTATAGTAATTTCACATGAAATCAAACAATAGTCTTTATTTTAAGAAAACTCGTTTAATTTGATAAATAAACAATCATTTCTTTAATTCATTTCTTTATTTTTGTTATATTATTGATTCGTTAATATTATTGCAGTCATATTATTGCAGTCATGTTTGTTCTCTTTGTATTATCTCATCTCTTTGTAAATAGATTTACGTTATGATAGCCTAGATTTTTGAAAAACAAGATCTGTTTAACCACTCTAAAAATAATTGTTTTCATAATCAAAATTTTTTATTGTTTCATAGAAATTCGAATGAGAATTTCCTAACTGTTGATCGCAGATTCTTCCTGTCTATCGCTACTTGAAAAGTTTTAAACAAAGCCTTCATAAGCCACCACTATTACTTGTGAAAAAACGGTTTTTATATAAAATCTAGGTATTCATATGCATATCCTAATCTAATCTTTATACGTTTACCCAACATTTTCTATACTGGTTGCATTATTATAAGATATATATATGTCATATATATATATTTATATAGCATATACGTATATTGTTTTATTTATATATATATATATATTTATTTTATATTAATTTATATACAGCATATCAGATATATATATATATATAAGTTTACATGTGATGGTTAGTAATTAAACTATATGACTCAATATTTGAATTAAATTTAAAAATGGAATTATAATAAGCTTTTATCGTTATACCATATTTTTCTCCGGTATCGGGATATCGGGATTGCAATCCTTATTTGCTGCCGCAACATGTCTATCTGTATACATTCAAGAAATAAAATATCACTGCAAATTTCTTAATGGTTATCTTCCTCAAAAAGTACTACGTATGTACGTACATGTATGAACTCTAAACTCAAGTGTTACTAATATTTTTTATGGTAATTGAGTTACATTTTTATCAAATTATCGAAATCTTTTTAATCTTACGTAGGAAATGGGCGCTGAATTCCGGTTTTCTTTATACGTAGTATATATAATTTATATTATGTTTATATATTTTTATTTCATACATGATCTAAAAAAAATCTTTATTCTTATCCAAATTTTTTTTTTAAAAAAAAATTGTCAGCTTTAGAGTTCTTACTGTGATCCGCAATAAATCTATTTTTTAGAACGCCAAGACAAAAATGTACATTTAAAATTTTTATTATTGATTTCCAAAAAAAGGTACATAAATAATTTTTTGTATATTCTCATGATCTAATTTCAATCTTACCCATGTGATCTGTGTTAGCCAATTAAACTAATTTTGCTCTCTACTAGGCTTATCTTAAGGCTTATCAACTGGTTTTTAAAAAAGAATATTATCGTATTTTATTTCCGTTAATCTCATACGTGATGTACTATAGTTTTAGGGATTTTCTATCAACAAACAAATATTCCGAAATTTTTTCAACTCTAAATTTTTTTTTAAATTTCGTTTAATAAACTTTTCGGTGGTCTGATTCTAACGCTAATTATCATTTTATTATTTTAATAAAGTATCCAATTTTATTCCAAAATTTCACAATTCTAATAAGATTTTCATGTCCAGGGGTTAGAATATTGCCTAATTAGATCTGTTTCAGGTAATAATCTCCTAATTTTAAAACTGGCTCAAGGTCAGAATGGTGAAAAATCTCTAAACTATATAGTAATCGGCTTTGAAGAACCATAATGGAATTCTCATTCAAATTTGCGCATATATAAACGTTGATATTATTACATATGATCTGAGCCACGCAAGCTCTACACAATTAAGTAATTCCATAGTATATATACTACTATATATAATTCATTTTTTAGATAATGTAATTACATAAGATTTTTCAATGATAACCTACTTTTTCAGAAATTGATTCAAAAAATTGTCTATATAATATATAGATTTTAAATTATTTCTTTGGAATATATTGTACAGTATGTACCGGTATCGGTATGTAAATTATTTATTATTTTTTAATGATTACTCAAATTGAAAAAAAAGATCTAAAGTTGAGATAAATAAGAATAGATTTGTAGTAATAAAAATTTCTATTAACTTTCAAATACGTACGTAATTACTTTCTTAATTATTATCTTAACGAATAAAAAAAATTTTAGTTTGTCAAATTCAGCATGTAATACATAGAATTCATTAATAACTTTATATCAAGATCAGATTCCAATTTTCCATTCTGTCTCATTCTGACTCCGCATATTGATCATGTGCATGTTAATTTGTGATTCTCCACTCGGAAACTTTGCATTCATCTGTTAAACATTGACCAAAATTATATAGTAAACATTTATATTCACCGACGTTGTCGGGGATATCAGTATCCGAAAATCAAATTTTGTTACTGCGCTACGTCTCAATATAATACGGGGCACAGGCCCGAAGCCACTTTTCCGAAATGAGGTAATAAGTAATTTTAGGTAGCGTTCCACAAAAAAATTGTTCACCCCTGTAATTTTGACAAATCAAATTTAAGATAAGGGAAGTGTAAGATATCAGCTGATATCGTAGGGTAGGGGGGAAGTAGACAAAATCTCAGGTCTAATATATGCATATGGGATCGCTATCAAAATGACCCTCCGAGGCTATGTTAATTTTGTGAATAAAAATTAAATTTGTCAGGCATCTAGTTATCCAATTTGAATGAAATTTTTTCTATTGAGATTTACAAAATAAAAAAAAGTTTATTCAAATTGAATTAATAGATAGCTGGCAAATTTCACAAAATCAACATAGCCTCGGAGGGCCATTTTAATAGCAAAGATCCCATATAACCAATCAGAATGGCTAAATTTCTCAGGAGGGAGGGAGGGGGGTAAGCTCTATAGTAAACTGATCTCAGCTAATATATGACACGTCCCTAAGGTGTAACGTGATAGTCAAAACATATGGGCCAGGGTTAGTCAAATATTATTAATATTATTTTGATAATTTTAAAAGATTCCGACGCTAAATTTCGTTTATTTTCGTAAATACTTGATAATATTTAGATAAATTTCAATTATATAAAAATTGAAATTTAAAATACATAGTTGCCGAGTATAATATTTAAGCTAGATCTCAAATTCTAGCTATATATATGTATATTATATATACTATATATATATATTATTATTATAGTATTTTTAAGTTAGACTACAGATTTTACATTAATTTTCAATATATTAGTATAATGTTTAAATCAGATTACACAAACCTTAGCTTTTGAAACATAGTGTTTGGGTTATATTAAATTTTAAGAGGTAGTTTGCAGTAAAATTTTATAGTAAAAAATCGGCGTAGTATTACTAATTGCCTTATACTGTATAGGGAATAGACTAGGAAAACCGGGCTTTAACAAAATTAGAAAATTGCCTAATCGAATTAAATTTGAATTGATTTACCAATTAAATAAATTACGTATGATACGTATAAAAACCTATTAGGCGGCATCCATAATTTACGTTAAACCAGTATTGTTATAGAAATCTTAAGGATAATACCATACGGTATTATCATCAAAGGTTCTCTATTTATATACAATACAGTACTGGTTTAACGTAAATTATGGATGCCACCTTACAAAACGTTTTAATAAAATAGGATTTTTAATATATTATATACAGTATTAATAATTATATACTGTATATAAAAATTTTTATGATATAATAATTCTAAAATAAATTGATAAAAATTTGTGCAACACAAACACTAATCGCATTTTTCTAAAATCTAAACTGTTTGTTAATAACTAGTTTTTCTAATCTATTTCCTATATAAAAATACCTTATAATAAAAAACCAAAAAATATTTATACATTTTCTCGTGATATACAAATTGATTTTATATTAATAATAAAATTACAAAGTTTAATTAAAAATTATAAAAGATTTTATATTTAGCAATTCTGTTTTTAGAGAAGTGTTATTTATCATCAGATTTTTTTAGCAGGGGGTGGGTATCAAAATATTATGCCAATAGATCACACATATATATATATTTATATATAATCATAATTATTTGAAGAAGCGAGAAAATTTTACTAAAATTAAAATACCTTAACAACTATTTAATCAAATTTGCTATAAATTTTTTTATTTTAAACTTGAAATTATATAAAATTAAAAATAAAAAAAATTTATTAATTTTAATAGAAAACTTTTATTTAAAAAAAATTTGTTTCTTTTCTATTAACTCCTTTTTAATATAAAAACAATAATAAGAAAAAAAAATAATAATAAAAAGAAATATTATAAACTAATCTAAAAAACAAAAAAGATAAAAATAAAAAAAAACAAAGATATAATAACTTTATTAGAAAGTTTTGGAAGTATTAATTAATAGAGTATAA